CGGATGGCCTAGGGAGGATGTGACCTGCAATACAGGGTGGAATGATCAGCTCCTACGAACAGCCGTGTGATACTCGCCTTCTGAAGAAGCAATGCAAGGGTTTATTAAAATGATTGTATGAGCTTTAGTGCAAGAAGTTGATTAATTGATTCAGCATGAAGAATCCAGTCTCTTAAAGTTGTGGTGTGTCTGTCGTTTGATTTCCAACAATACTTTGTCCTTAGCTGTGTTATGCACATGATTTTTGTGGTTAACAGTTTGCCTTCTTGCTCTTTTTATGCATGCACAAGAGAGCTTTGTTGTAACTTGCTACAGTCAGCTCCCTCATTTTATGGAGCTGCATCTTCAATTCAAGATCTGAGGAGAAACAAAAGTTCTGCTATTTCTAAAAGGGTTAAGTTATCCAAAGCCTGATAGAAATTTATTATTGTTATGACAACTGACTTCCATGTTCCTAGTTATGGAGTGAATGGCACAATCATTTGAGGAATGTTATCTTGGAAACTGAGCTAAGAAAAACTTTTTAAAATAATCCAAATAAATAGCAGTTAAATTACACTCCAGGCAGTCGCAGATAATTAATTTTTTCATTATAGGTTACCGATTTCAAAGTCAAATCCTTAATCCTTTTCTTCCTTCTGTTGACAGCTGATTCTCACATTCTATTAAGACATATAGGTTTAAGTCAGGATTTTGTGGCCTGACATCCTTTCAAGGAGTTAGTGGCCCTAATAACAAAATAAGGTACTTAAGCTAAACCTCTTGAAGTTTAAATCTTGAAACACAAAAAAAACTTTGACTGTGGCCTTTTTTTTCCTATGGAGAAACAAAAAAGAATTATGTAGAAAAGAAAGTTATTCTGCCTTACCAAGTGATGATTCTAAAATTTATAGCAAAATTTGTAAATAAATTCAGTGTTCTAAAGAATCTCAAGTGCAGCGCTGATGACTTCACATTGGAAGAGCTATTATGGTACTTGACACTTTCAAAGAATTGGAAATGTTTTGTTATTGTGTTTTTATTTGTTATGTATGAACCCAGGAGTTACCACAAATCACATTGGTTGAATCCCACATATAAGACATAAATGCAGTATGTGTGGAGTGTTGCATGGGAAAATGCTTTATAAAGAGTTTCTCCTTTTAAAGTTTCTCTTAAAAGAAATATTTGGTAAAGATATAATAAGTTATGTAGGAACTAAAACCCTTTCAAAATTTCTTTTTTTAATGAAGGAGGAAGTTGGTTTCGCATTTTTTTCCACAACATTTTCAAATTCAAATTTTTCAGAACAGTAGATGCTGATTTTTTTGAAGGGCCAATGAAAGTTATGAATTATTTAACCCCTAATTAACCCTTGAAAAAGCCACAGTTAGGATCTGCCAACTGTACTGGGTGTATATATAGGATGAGAGCACGGTCTTTGAGGTCTTTGTAGCTCCTCAAAACTATTTATAATTTTAGATAGTTATTCTAAGTCTCTTGTTGATAGAACACAAACCAAGTATTAAATTCTTATATCTCAAGGGACAAGTTATTACTTAAAAAAAAAAAAAGATAGCTTTGAATGTAGTGTGTTTAACATAGTTTTACATATATCCATTGTAGTTTTGATTGCTGAAATAACCCATGAAATGGCTAAAGTCTAATATTAAGAATAAAAGGAAACAAAAGAGGATTTGCCCTTCTTCTAGGCCTTGATGTAAACATGAAGAGATTAATGAAAAAGCATTGACTAATATCTAGAATTTGGAGTGTCTTATTGGGTGTGTAAAATATCTTTGCTGTTTCTACTGGAATATAATTATATCTGCCTTGCACTTCAGTAGTTCCTTTCCAAACTGGAAAATGAAAATAGCAAAACATTTTCTTTCTTCTGCCCTTTAAAGGTTGTCATAATAATACCACAGTATTTGGAATTAAATAGTGCAAAAAATGTTTGATTTTTTTACTCTGAGTAACACGAACAAAACCACTTAAATGATGCTAAAAGAAACATTTCACAATCAAAATAAAAAGAAACACTAGACCTAGTTGGGGGGCAGTGTTTATATTTGTATGATATGCTTATTAAAACTGAAAGCTTGATTAGTGCTTTGCAAGTTGATCGTATGATTATTTTCTCTTTCAATAAAGTAGTTGAGCTCAGTATAGTAGTATTTTAGAGGCATTTAAAATGTAGAATTCTCTTAATTTTTTACATGGTTTTCTTGTTAAAAGTCATTGATAAAATGGAAAACTTCAGTGGGAGGCAAGGCTTGTGCATACTGGTGAAAGCTCGCTCAAGGCAGAATTTCTGATCTCTGGTAAGTTTTGAAAATGAGGTTTGCACTAAACAGCAGCAGGGAGCTGGGAAAGGCGCCGTTTTCAGTGCATGCTCCCCATGGCAGGACTAGCGCTTTTGTTCCGAGTATTTTTGAACTGCCGACCTTGGAGCAGCAATCCTGGCATTTCTGCATGCCGCTCGGCTGGGGAACCAGGGCTGGCTCCAGGCTTGCTCAGCTCGCTCGCCAGGGACCTGCACGAAGGGACCGAGCGCCGCCGTTCACAGGGACCTGCACAGGCCAGAGAGGTGGGCAGGGAGGACCCTCCTGGAGTTCAGCCCTGGCGAGTGCCAGGGCCTGTGTGCAGGCAAGAACAACCCCAGGCACCAGTGCAGGCTGGGGGTGACCTGCTCTGTGGAGAAGGGCCTGGGGATGCTGGTGGACTGCAGGCTGGCCATGGGCCAACAGTGCCACAAGAAGGCCCATGGTCCTGGGGTGCGTCAGGAGGAGTGCTGCCAGCAGGTCCCAGGAGGTGGTCCTGCCCCTCCACTCAGCCCTGGTGTCCCTGGGCTCCCCAATACGAGGGAGTGCTGGAGAGAACTGCTGGAGAGAGTCCAGCACAGGGCTGCAAAGGTGATCGAGGAACTGGAACATCTGTCCTACGAGGAGAGGCTGAGAGAGCTGGGCCTGTGCAGCCTGAGGAAGAGAAGGCCGAGAGGTGATGTTACCAGTGTGTATAAAAACCTTAAGGGAAGGTGGCAAGAGGATGGTGCCAGACTCTTTTCAGTGGTGGCCAGTGACAGGACAAGAGGCAACGACCATGAACTGAAAAACAAGAAGTTCTATATGAATATGCAGAAAAACTTCTGGACTGCAAGGGTGGCAGAGCCCTGGAGCAAGCTGCCCGGAGATGTTGTGGAGTCTCCTCTGGAGATATTCAGAACCCACCAAAATACGATCATGTGCAGTATGTATGAGGTGGCCCTGCTTGGGTCACCTAGGGCAGTTGGACTCCAGAGGTTCCTTCAGCTGTTCTGTTGTTTTGTAATACAGAGGCTCTGAAGGGAAAGCACTGCCCAAGTTTGAGCTATTTTCATTTTTGTACTTTCGTGGTTTCAAGATGCTCTACAGTTTCCATTAGTTGAATTTTGATTTTAGGGTGAAAATGGCTTGAATCTACTAGAAAATTGAACCACTCGTGTTTCAGGAAGAAATACTTGAAGGTCAGTGATTAGTGAGTAGTTTGTAGTGCAGGGCACTTGCTAAGTTTTTGATTACCTGAAAAAAATTAAGTTCGGAAAGGGCTATACTGGGTCGGGCTGGGGGTGGCCTTGTGCTTTTTTCTCTTTCTTTCTTTCCTTCTTTTTTTTTTTTTTTTTTTTTTTTTTTCCCCAGTGATCTTAAGTTCTGAAACTGCCTCATTAAATGTTTTAGAAGTGATGTCTAAGGTCTAACTCTGCCTTTTCTCTTAGATCTCTCCTGCCATGAACTTGCAATTTTTTTCCCTGTATGCTGCAAGCTCTTCTGAAAACACAAAGACCTGCAGGTTTTTCTTTTGGAGGCACAAAAGCAGAAGTGCTTTGCAATATGCCTTTGCTGAGAGTGCGTATCTGAACTACTTTGTGCAATTCAGCAGAGCACCTGTGTGGTAGTTTTCTAGCAAGGCTTCCCCAGCAAAAGGGTTTTGGCAAAGGAGAGGAAAGCTCTTTGTGGCAAACTGTCAACTGAAACATTGTGCTGGTTCTGTGGCAGTTGGGACAGCAGATAAACTAATAGAAATGGTTTAGCACATAACATTCCTCCGTGCTTGTTATCTCCCTTCCCCCATGCGTTTGAAATGTTACTGAAATGATTTAGAAATCTCAATGAAGCTTAGGCCAGAACCAGGGTGCTTCCTGGTGGTCCATTTTTCTAATTTTTCTCCAGCTTGCCCCCTGAGAGCAAATTGGCTCATTTGCTCATTCGTGGCGTTCGTCTGTTTCTTTTGTTGTTCACCATCATGTGAAAGTTGCACTGCCTTGTATTTCTGCTTAAGCAGTAAACTGATCTTTGAAGGCTTGAGAAATATTCTGTCCCGGTCTTTCAAAAGTGATTGATATCTTCATCAATATCTTGCAGACATCTAAGTTCATAGGTACCTTCCAAATGATATTAGAACAGCCTGAACTAATCAAAAGTGTTTTCTGCAAAATAAATTACATCTCTATGTTTTGCTCATTCGCAGAAGGAAAGCAAGCAGCTGAAATTTGACTTCTCTATTTTTGCCCCTACTCCATCCAACTTTCTAATTTTTTATTTTTAAAATGACTGTGGAAAATAACCTTAAACTATCCAAACAAAATACATATCACATCAGTTGCTGCCCTACACAGTTAAAAAGGATGCATCGAACAGCATCAATCTCATGCTTTCGCAAGCCAGTGAATTACATTCCTAACTCTGATGGGTTAATCTTGCAATGTGACTAGTGTCTGGCAGTATTGGTATGTCAGGAAATACGTAATACATAAAACTGGTTGACTTTAGAGGTGTAACTGTCAATTAGAGAAGCTTGCTTGTCTTGATAAATGTGGCTAACATGTCTTTAGAGTAAGTATGTTTTCTAAAATATAAAATGTACATTATTTAGAAGATATTCTTTTATGCAGCTGTTTATGCAGTTTTTTTCATAACTCATGCAGAATGCTGAAACATACTTTTTATTTTAAATAAAACCTTTTTTCCCCCCTCTTACCACAGGATAATGAGAAAAGGACCCCTTTACATGCTGCTGCCTATCTGGGAGATGCAGAAATTATTGAACTACTTATTTTATCTGGTATGTTCTGTTCCTATTAACGGAAAAAAAAAACCTCTATGCACATCCAAGAAATATTTATGTACATCTTAGTTTGTATAGTTTTTATTGAGTTATTTATTGTCCTAGGAATTAAAGATGTTTATCCTGAAAATCTGATTTGCAGACTTATCAGTGTTTTAATAATGTGCAGCTTTCCTCTAAATTATTTTTCACAGAAAGCTTTCTCAATTACAGGTATTGATCAGCTTTACGCAGTTTAAATTGCAGTTTAAAGACATAATAGTGTATACGTTATAGGTAGATCTTAGTAACATTGTTCTGATACTGTTCTGAACTAGCTTGCAATAAAAAAAAAAAAGGCTAATGAAGACAGAAGGTGGTAGCCAAAGTCGATTATATGATTTTTCTCAGTATTTCTTTTTCAGTCAGCTTAAATGCACAGAACATAATTGGGATCTTATGAAAAAATTTTAAGTCACTTTTTAAAATTTGTATGAAACCAAGTACAGGTCCTGTACGGCTGTTAATTTCAGTGTCTAAAAGCAAACAGAAAGCTTGCCCACCCACAACCAAAATCTCAAATCACAACTTTAGAGTTCAGATATTGCATAGATTTTCCTCGGCCCTGGACAAGCTCACCCATCAGGTAGCTCAAGGCTTAATTCAATATAGGGACCTGCTTTGAGGTTAAATAGCAAGATTAGAACTCACAAATGTCCAGTACAACTTTTTAAATCTTTCTTCTGCTTAAGGGCATACATTACCTGTGCAAAGAAACTATTTCTTCCCCCACCTCATTTCTATCTTTAATAACAAATTTTGCTTTAATGAAATACCACTGTTAAGATTGTAAGAGGCACTTCCAAACTTTAACTTAATTGAAGTTGCAAGACAGATTTCACTATAATGCGGTGATTTAATTTGTTCATAATTTAGCAAATTATGTTTTCATTTGAAGTATTCCATGTTGAAAAATTTTTTTAGGCTAAATAAGAAAAATTTCTCCAGAAGACTGCAATTATGTTTCTGACAAGGTGGGTCAGGAAAAGCCTGCTCTTATTCCTTATCGAGAGATAACCAAAATTTCAATGATTCTTGAGAATCTATAATGACCCCTTTCTTCTGAAAAGGAATTTCAGATTTGGGAGGGATATTTCTTTTGGGGGGGAGTTTCACAGTGATAAGAATTTAGCCATTTCCTAATCTTTGCAAAGGTGTAGTCATATGTTTCTGGTACTGCAGTTCCTGACTATCTTGGGTGAATTGCCTCCTGTTAACAGAACTCTTGAGTCTTTTTCTCTCTCAGGGTCAGGATTTAGGATATGGGAGTTACTGTTTTTTTCAGGTACCAATGAAAGAAGATGCTGATGAGGGGGGCTATAGAGGAAGAAAGATTAGTCTTGCTGTTTGGGCACACAGCCAGGGAGAAGAGTGTTAGAAAAGCTGGAGAACCTAGGAGGGAGGTGAAGAACAGAGATGGTCAGACTATAGGGGCAGTCCCACGTTGAGGAGTTGCATGGAGGAGAGCGCGTGCACTGCTGCTGTGTCTGGAGATAGCTGGGAAGCCACCCGTGTGTCACACAGTGCGAGTGAAATAAAGTCGAGCTGTACCTGTACAAAACAACCCGCGGAGCAGCGGCCAGCGCACGCGTCCCTGTGGGCCTGCCTGCACCCCGTGATACTGCACGAGCAGCTTGAGCGGGCGCTTCTAAAGCAGGGTCACCAATTCAGTCCTCATTTATAAATGCTGGTTTTCAGATCTCGCAGTTTGTGAAGTGCGAGCACTTGCCCCTGTATGTGAAGCACTCCGCTAGGTGTTTCGCTGGGAAATCATAGTCTAGCTGTCTCAGAACAAAAATCTTGGGTTGCATATTTTAAAGTCAATCTCTTTATTCACACAGATGGATCTGAGGTTAAGTGTATTATCATCATTTCATGAAGATGTGCAACATTAGTGTATTGTGATTCTTTTGGAGATAAAATCTCTGCATTGAGACGGAGATACGTAATGTTATACTGCATCAGAATACATGAGCATAAAAGAACAAACGAACATTGTTATTACAGCAAAGTCAGAACAAAGTTCGTCATGTTGCAAGACCTCCTTTTGCACAATGAAGAGATGGTTTGTTAAATTAATAATACCTTGTTTATGCTCTAAGTTTGTATGTAGGAATTGTGTATGGCTTCTAATTGACTTATTGTAATATCCGAGGGCATGTATTCAAGGACATATTGTAATACACAAGGAATTGAATTAAGGCAGTACAGACCACTTTCACCAGGTTCCTTTCAGAAATGTGCAATAATTTTGTAGCATTTTATGATAGATAAGAGATCTGCATATTATGTTCTGAAGATATAACAATTTCAGCCTACCTGCACACTTGTGTAGAAGGTTTCAGTCTTGCAAGCACATTTATTTAGTTTTTAGATATTTGAGTGACTTGACAGACTTCATGGTTGCTCCTTTTTTTTTTTTTTTTCTCACCTGAGCTTGAAGCTGTTGGTTTGGATGCAGACTGCAAACAGGAAAGCAAATTGTTTCATCAGCTCTAGTTTGGGGCTTGACCTATGAATTGTGTGTGTGTTTTTTTGTTATGTTTTTTAATCTGTTAAAATCAGTGAAAAGTTAGCTTATCAACTTGCCCTCTGAGGATTTGAACGTTTTGCTAGCTAATCCTTATACCCCTATGGTTGGTGGAAGTGTGAATATTTAAGTATCCTTCCCCTTTAGATTGTAGCTAGAATAAAGCAAATAGATCAGCAAAAGAATAGGTAAGGGGGTTAACAGTAAGTAAGGCTTGTAAAGCTGGTTGGCTACAGAGTGTTGGTAAAATACATTTTAGTTGCTTCAAATTCATAATTTTCTCTTTTCATATTGCTCTGTAGAGTCATAGTCTCTATCAAAGCTTCATGATTGCAATGTATGTACAACCAACTGTGATGCATAAATACATCATTACCTTGCATAATAACACTGCACCTCTACTGCTGAGTAGTAGAAAAGTAACCCAAGTAACCGAACTTAAACAGTTCGTTAACTGAATGTTAACGTTCAGTTGCCTGGAAGTTAAATTAATCCAACTCTTTGTGCTTTCGAGAAGGTCTTGGTAAGGAAAGTATCAAATTCTTCTTTCAGTGAGACCCTCAAGTGAGCTGTTGTAGAGGGGCTTGCAGTGCGGCTTTTTAAAAAATGTTGCTCTAGTTTGTTCTCGAATACTGGAATTTCAAATACTCACTTGTGGTTTTACTTTTCTGCGCTTGATACAGTGAGTTGTATTTTATGCAGTTAGTGTTACATGATATGATGAGTAGCATCCTACAGTTTCTCCATAATGCCATCACAGTCTATTCTGCAGGCAGCTGATATGAGCAGCAGGGCAGATTAGTATGAGCCCTGATTATATTCTGCTGACTAGTAACTTTTTAAATGTATTTTCTTTTAAAATATCATACAGACAATATCATTAGTATCTTGACTGAACTCAGTGCCTTTCATGAAAATGAGCTGAAACAAGCTGTTGTTTTCAATACATTTAGTTATCGTAATGAATTGATAAGTAAATACTAACAATGCATTTTCATTTGCTTAACCCAAAATGCCCTTATATGTTGGGTTAACTTATATTTTGAATCAAATGAAATCCGTGCAGTCAAAAACGTTATTTTTTTCCGCATGTTGCTCAGCGTGCCCGAGCGTGAGGTCAGCACAACCCAGCGAAGACTTGGCAGCCCCAAACTGTTTCTTATGCTTTCCTCCAGGCAGCTGCAAAGTGCAAGAATCAGGCAAGAATCAGCTGGAAAGCTGTTATTACAGTACCAACAAGGTAGATTTTGGAGGACAACATCATCCTGCTTGAATAAACTTTCTTTCTTTTAATTCTGAAACCCTGCCAATACAAGTCCATACAACAACAGTCATGCAGTTCAGCAGTAAAAATGCTGCAAAAATACAGGAGGAATTGCTAGACTAGCAAGTGTACCCAAATGCAAAAGGGTTTCACAGGGGATCCTTTTACACAGATTCTATCTTAAAGCCACTTCCTCTGCCATTAGCGATGGTGTCAGCTGCCATCTCCTGCTTCTAGCTGCCCTCTGGCAGCAGTAACACACACTCGCTGGGAAGAAAGTGGTTCACACACTCTTTAACCTTCCTGAGGGAGAGAAAAAAAGAGGAAAAGTGAGACTGGCTTGTGAGGATGCAGGTGAAGTTCATCACCTCTGACTCTGATCAACTCATGTTTGTCTCTGAAATGCAGAATTACGGGATGGAGCAGAGCTTGGAGACTCCGTTTGTGTGGGATTACCCTGCCCACTCCTGTTTATAGTAAGCATACATCTAAATTTTCCTTAAGAGTATATATATATACACACACACACACATAAACTAAGAAGACAACATTGTGTTTACTCTGTCTCATACAAGCCGCATTATTGATAAAAATATGACCCTCTTCTCCCTCTGATTAGAGGAGAGATCCTTCTGATATCTCCTCTTGAATTTCTACTTATTTTTCTCTCTAAGAAAGCTGCATAGTCTGAGAAATTCTGACTGCCACCTTAAGTATTCACAGGGCCTTCCTCCCTGGGTAAACAATAGTCGATTTAAAGGGGAAATACTTCCTAAGCTAATACTTACTCTTAGGAAAATCATTAAAGTGATTCCTAAATTGTTTTCCTAAAGGATTTTATACTGGCATTCTTCCTAATTTCTGCCAAGATCATTCTTGAGAGCGTTTTAAAATATGGATCATTCATAGGCAAGGTTTAGATTTCATTGTAAAAAGCTACCAACAACAAAAACCTTAAAATATACATTTCTTACTCCCAAATAAACAGTTTTTCAGGATCAAATCAGGAACAGATCAGGAACAAATGTTGAATGTAGGTGTCTGTATTGAATGAGTGAAACCACCTTTGCTTTGTTTGCACATACTGTGGTACTGTACAATCCCTAGCACTTCTTGTGCAATAATAGGGGAAAATCTGTCCCTGACAGCCTAAAAGCCCAGATT